GAGGGAAGCAGTGGTATGCTAGGTGGGCACACAGGACAAACACTGGGAACTGGGGGCAAGTGAGCAGGCAGGCATGCGTGTGTCTCTCTGAGAGAAAGATGGGGGTAGGTGAGGACTGGCACGGAGACCAGACCAGCCAGGACCGGGAACAGGCATGAAAGAGAAGGGCATTTGAAACCCACACCAGCAGCCCAGAGCCATGGGTCCTCGTCAGCTCTGGACAAGCCCCACTCAACTCAAAAAACCAAACGCACGGCCAGCGAGTCAATTCTGACCAGCCCCTGTGCATTTCTGAGACTTTAACTGTTGTACGGGAGTGGAAAACTCCATCTTAATTCGACAGAGTACCTGGAGGTTTTGAACCGCTGACCTTATGCTTAGCAGCCTGATATGTAACCCCTAAGCCACCAGAGCTCCAGCACTAAATAAGCAGGAAGTTCCCAACCCAAGGCACTCTGCTACAGTGGCGTTGAGCCAAGATGGGGATCTGGAGCCCATGCTCTGAAATGCCCAGATTGTCCTTCCAGAAAAGGAGCCCTGGTAGCACAGTGATTAAGTGCTTGACCCCTAACCGAAAGGTTGGCGGTTCAAATCCATCCAGCAGTGTCACGGAAGAAAGGCCTGGCGCTCTACTTCTGAAAAACCCAGTCGTCGCAAACACTGGAGGGTCCTGTGCTGTTCGGACGGGTCGGGCTCACCGTGAGCCAGCATTGGCTCCGCAGTGCCTGGGTTTAGGAGACTGGGGAGCCGTGACTCGGAGCCCTGGAGGGAGCAGGGCTCCCGCCCAGCCCGGTGCCCCCCTCACCCGGAGCCACTGCTCAGCCTGGTCCTTGCTCTGCAGCCCCAGCACGATCACGTCGGCGTTCAGGGGCGTGATCTTCAGCTTGTGCTCCTTTTTCCGCACCTGCTTCTCCTTGTGGACGACGCTGCTGCCCACCAAGCTCACGTCCAGCTGCGGGCTTTGGTCCTTGGAGGACTTGTAGCACTGGAGGGAAAGAGGAGGGATACCAGGTCGCCAGGTCTAGACAAGTTCCGCAAAGGGAATGCCTCCTGGCAGTGCAGGGCCGCCCACAAGAGACCGGCTTTACCCCAAGAAAGCCACAAGTAGGACCTCCGGGCAGCAGGCCCAGACCCTTCTCCCACAGCACTGGCTCTGGTTTTCAACGTCAGAGGAGGGGGCCACGGGTGGGGTCTCCTCTCACCGGCTCAGGATGCTCTGGGCCCTTGCTTGTTCAAACCGCACACGTCTTGCTCCGGGGCCAGGGCGGCCCTGGAAAGGTGTCCCAGGTGGGCAACTCTCATCTAGCTGAGGTGGAGCTGACCTTGGACATGTCCTGTGTTTCTAGCTCAGCTTCCTGGGAAGGGACCCACAGAGAGCGAGCGGAGGCTAAGCTTGTCTTATGAAAGAAGAGGGATGAGAATCCAAAGACCCTGGGGCACCAAGCGGTCTCCAGCCCGAAGAAAGTGCATCTGGCTCTCGGGGAACCCGCATGAGCAGTAGCCAGCAACAGGGCTGGAGACCCTCTCTGGATGGTGGTAAACAAAAAACAAAATCTGAAAAAGGAAGAAAGAAACAGCTCATTCACTTATACACACAAAATTCTGCATCTCCTGGCCTGGGGGTGGGGGTGGTGATTGATGGACACTATGACAGCCGTGGTGCCGGGGAAAGATCCATTCAAGCGCACCCCCACAGTTCTGCACAGTTTCTGATCAAAGAGGTTCCAATCCTGAGGAGCCTGCTGGTGTCGTGTGTGAGAAGATAGGCTGCTCACCGCAAGACCAGCAGTTCAGAACCCCCAATCGCTCCGTGGGAGAGGGAGGAGGCTGTCCATTCCCTTCAATATGGACAGTCTTGGAAACTCACAGGAGCAGCTCCATTCTGTCTCACAGCATCACTCATTTTGAGTCGGAATCAACACCCTGGCAGGGAGTTTTGCGAAGGCATCGCGGTACCTTTGCTCTGTTGTCTGGTACCTTCCAGAAGCTTCTGACTCATAGTGACCCTGCATCCAGCCGAATAAAACATTGCCCAGTCCGGCATCACCCTCCCCGTCCTTATGGTCAAGTGAATGGTTACAGCCCAGGTGTCATTCGATAGGAAAGTCCTGTCCCTTGGGACCCTCCCTGCCCCAGGGATTGAGGACGACAGGGCGGGAGGGCCACTGACCAGGAGCCTGGTGTCCTTGATGACGCAGAGCTGCTTGGCCCACTGGCCCAGCCACTTCTTCCTCCACAGGAAGGCGCAGATGCGGGCTTCCCGCATCAGCTCGATGCCGGCCTCGGGTGAGGGCCACTGGTAGGGGGCCGACTTGCCCTTGTTGCTCTCCTCTTCATCATAGGACTCGTAAGAGCTGCTCACAGCCTCTCCGTCCTCTGTGAGGAAGACAGGCCTGCTCAGGACCCCGCTGGCCACAGGGCATTTCTATAACATGCCTGGGCCAGGAAGGCAGCAGGCCCTGGGCCACAGCCCACCAGCCTCTTGTGTCCTCGAACCAGCCTTCCAGTCACTGACCTCAGACCTCACTGGCCCTAACCCGTGACCACGGCCCACAACACAAACAATTCAAACCCAAGCCTCTCCCCTGGCCCTTTCTCCCTCACATCCTGCCCTGCCAGACGCCCGCGGAAACTTCAGACGCGACCCTGCCGCGTGCACCGACTCGCTGTTGGCTCTTGAGAAGGCCTCCACAGCCTTCTGAGCCTGTGTTTCTTCAACCGAGGGGAGAGGGGACAGATGGGAGGGCTGTGACTCCACAGAAACAGGGGAAGATAAACCACCACAGGAAATGGCATTATAGGATGAGGCCACCACCTAGCCCCTGAATAGTCCCCTCCGAGCTGTATCCTTTCAAAGCCCGCCCCCAGCCCTCCCTTCTCAACAGCCCTCAGTGCCAATTTAGCTCCTTTTGTCTGGTTTCTCCTGGTACCCTTGCCTTTCCGGGTGGCATTGAGCCAACTTCACGGTTTTGCTTTTTGTTTTGTTTTACAAGAACTCCCAAATGCTGTGTTCCTGGCCCCACTGCCAGCAGACTGACTACCCAGGGGTGCGGTGGGGAAATGCAACCACCTTGAAAATCAGGACATGGGAAGAGGCCCTTGGGGACCCCTGTAGACCAGGGGTCCCGTCTATCAACCTTGGGCCTACTCCAGGGTCTGCCTGAATTTCCCTGTGGTCAGGGAGCTCACTGCCTCGCCATTGCTGGGCAGCCTTAACAGAAAATGGGTCCAGAATCCCCTGTGACTTCCATAAGGGGGGGTGTCTTTGTTGTGCCCCCCCATAAGGGTGAGTGACCCTCCCCTGTCCTCCACATGACTCCCCCTGGAGAAAAGTGACAGCCCCACCCCACCCCCTCACTTCCCTCCCCTGCATCCCAAGGAAACAGGCCCATACGTGAATTAGAATACAGGAAAACCAAGCGAGTGACCCAGGCCACCACAGTTACTCTAGCCTCATTGCCAATGAAAATGTGCTTTGCTATTTCTAAAAATAACACTCGGAATAGCTTCACATCAGGTTGCTTCTCATGCATCCCTTCCGTGGCTTTACTAGCACAAAGCAGCATTGAGAATTGTATACCTAGTCACCAAGCGGAGATTTAAAGCGCTGCCTGGTGGGGCCTCAAACTCTCCTGCTCTCTGGTGGCAACATAAATTAGCACATGCCTCAGATAACCAGCCGGTGGGATGTTTTATGAGTCATAAAAACACCCGGGCCCTTTGACCCAGTAATCCCAGTCAGCCCAGGGAATGCGTGCTCAGAAACTAGCTTTCTTTACAGCAGGAGGGGAGGTGACATGCATCAAGATAGCCCAGTAGCGGGAAGGAGCTGGGCCAGCCCAGTACCGCAGACCACACAGTCAACATCCACACAAGCACCCACGCCTGGTTTGCAGCCCCCGAAACTCCTGAAGATGGAGTGGTGGGTGGGAGAGCGGAACGGCAGGAAGAATTCAAAACGGTCGCTCAGTAGGGTGCTTGGGTCAGGGTGGTTCAAACACAAACAAAAACCCTTCTCTGTCTTGGTGGCGTCGTGGTACGCGTTAGGCTGACCTGCGGTCAGCAGTTCAAAACCCTCGGCTGCTCCAAGGGGGAAAGGTGGGGCTTTCTACTCAGGGCAAGAGCCAGTCTCAGAAACCCACAGGAGCAGTTCTCCCCGTCCTGTAGGGTCGCTGTGAGTCAGCATCGACTCAGCGGCGGTGAGTGTGGTTTGGTTTGGAGATGAAGTAAGAGGAATGCAGCCAGGCCATTGGGCACCTTGTTCAGTTACAAAGCCCAGTGGCGGCAGACCACAGTGGTTAGGGTGACTCCCTTGCTTCTTGGTGCACCTGTGGGTTTCCCATGCGCCTCATGGAAAACTCTACAACCTGCCCACTGTGTTCCGTGAGAGGAAACAGCACATCCCAGGACCTCGACAGCCTGGGAGAAGTGTAGAGCAAGTATACGAGTCCATTAGGAGCGCTGGCGGTGTGTGTGTACTGGTTATGCACTGGGTGGCCAACCACAAGGTCAACAGTTTGAAACCACCGGCTACTCCGAGGTAGAAAGATGGGGTTTTCTACTCCCATAAAGAGTGACAGTCTAGGAAACCCTCAGGGGCAGCGCTACCCTGTCCTATAGGGTCACACTGAGTTGGCCATCGACCCAGTGGCAGCCAGTTTGGGTTTTGAATGTTAGTTTTATTGAGCATAAAGCTCATTGCCACCGGTTCTGAGGTGCGGTGTCCTCACATGGCATGTTCCAAGGAAGGGCCTCTCCAGGCTTTGGAAGCAAGACCACCACCAGGCCTTTCTTCCACCATCCCTCTGGGTAGACTCGAATCCCCAACCTTTTGGTCAATGGTTGGGCACTTAGCCCTACGCACCAGCCAGGAACTTAAATGTAGGCTCTTCTAAAAACAGCCAGCTGGCTTTGGAGGTCTCATGAGGGTGGGAGACCGGGTGCTCAGATGATACATCCCCAATGGACGGCACGCCTTGCCCCAGAGCAGAGTCCTGGGGAACAGAGGCAGGGCAGGCGTACAGCCCCCTGAAGCTTCTGGCTACTGGTTCAGATGCTGTGGGCTCCACTGCGTTTTACTCCTGGGAGGACGGCACACGGGCGATCATGCAGGACCTGGGCCTGAAGACAGGGAGAGGGCCGTGGACATGCTCACAACATGCACCCCACGAGGTAGCTGGTGGTGTGCACATGCAGTACCCAGGGTGATGGTGGCATAAACGACGCCTTCGGGCACCTGCACCCAGCTGGGGCCTTCAGGAGCGGGGGTTCTGCATGGTCGACCTGTAGGATGCCCAGAGGCACAGATGGAGGGGGTTGGGGTGGGGGGAATGGAGAGAGGAAGAGACAGCAGGTACCAGGGCAGAGTCATGGGGGTAGTGACTGCAGTGCCTGCCACCAGGTGTGGGAACTCTCTATTTGCCAGCCCCATCACACCCGGAGGTGACCACAGGTGTGACTGAGCCACTAGTAGAAGGTGGCGGAAGGGACAATGTATCCGTAGATGGGTTGTCTACTCTTTTGGCAGAGAACCCTGGGCCCTATTGCACTGGTGAGCCAAACACCAGAAGGAGCCCGGCCATGGCTTGTACCTCCTGTTAGCTGCCATTGAGGCCCCCCTCCCCACTTGTGGGGACCCCATGAATAGCCTGGACTGTTATCATCCAGGGGGGTTGTTGCTGTCTGATTTTCAACGTTGACCACCAGGTCTTTCATCCTAGCACATCTTTTAGAATACAAACTCCCAAACTTATTTGGCTTAGTGCCTCTTTTCAGGAACAAAACAATTACTCAGCACCCCCACGGCAACAAAAGACTTTCATAGGCTAGCCCACAACCGACTTGATGGAAGTGTGTTTGGTTTTAGATCTTCTTAGCCACCTACTCCCGTAGAGAGTGGCAGTTTCGGAAATGCCCAGGGGTGCTTCCACTCCTGTCCATAGTCAGCAAGGTCTTGTGGCAGTGAGGTTGGCTTTGGTTCTAGGTCCTTCCTGCGCCCCTAGGGGGCCAGTATCACTCACACTGGGAAACACTGGTTTGGAAACAGAAGCTTGTTCAAGCATCGAGCGAGCGTGTCAGTCTGTCCCCAGGTTGCCCCTGGGGAGAACTGGCTAGAAATGGAACCTGGGTTCCCCCGAGCTCATCCGTGAACGGGAATCAGGCTGTTGCTGTGTTGCTATATGCTGCAATTGTGCCGCGATATAAGCAGCGGCAGTTGGCACTACCCCATACCCACTGGTCCTTTGTCCTTCAGGGCAGCCAGACAGGCCATCAGGGCACTTGCTGGGCTTTTAGGAGGGCAGGGGAGCCTGAGGGAGTGAGCAGCTTGGGGTCGTGTGGCCAGAGCAGGGCTGGTGTTCAAGCAAGTCTTTCTTCCAGGAAGTCAGCAGACATGCTGTTGGCCAACCAACCTGAGCGCAGGTCCCTGTGCTGCTGCACACCTGTGCCCCTCACAGGGCTCCACTGGAGCTCTGGCGTGGCCCAGGGAAGTCCTCCTTCTTTATGAGTGGGGCCACATTTCCCAAGCCTTCCTCACCCCACATCCTCCAGATGGAGGACAGGCACCCGGCTGTTTGCTCAGACGGGACTCGCTCCATTGCTGCGCTCTCCTGACCTGCTCCCCACAGTGAGTTCACACTGCCCTTGGGGTAGCCTCAGTGCCAGCTCCCAAAACCCACCCTCCCAAGCCGGCTGCTGTTAAGTCAGCTGTGACTCGTGGTGACCTTGTACGTGTGAGAAAAGAGGTGGGCTCCGTCGGGTTTTCAGTGATGTCCATCACCCAGCCCTTTTCCTTCTAAGACGCCTCCGGGCAGACCGAACCCACTGCCTTCGGGTCAGCAGGGGAGCACATGAGCGGCGTACATGACCCAGGCACTCCATCATAGCCACTGCCGCCACCACACGAATTCAAAGCGAAGGGACAGATGCCAAGACGCCCAGGTCCACCCGGCACCGGCTTGTGTTTCTCACACCGTAGGGAGCGTCTGGGAGGCAGGCCCCAGCGGGTCCAGCCCACACCTGGAGGGACTCGCCTTGAAGGGGCCAGGGGTGCTGTCAGAGGTGAGTCACCACCTGCACCTTCAAGGTGTGCCCCGACCCCAGCGCCACACCCTCGGCAGTGAAATCACAGCCCGGATGGATGGTGACTGGGAAGGCTCACAGGCTGGCGGTGGGACAGAGAGCCAGTGGTGTCTGCCTGCAGCCAGCCTCTCACCAGAGGCGCCGCCCAAACAAGCCCTGGCCTCCCACACAGCTCCCTGGACCAGGGCGGGAGTGAAAGTCTGAAGATGGGAACACCCAGGTCCCGTCGCATCCCTGCTCCCTCAGCAAGGCTTCCCAGTTTCCCAGTCAGCCCAGCTGCCTCCCTGCACCAAGGCCAGGCATCGCCCACGATTGA